GCGCGACGACGAGATTGTTGTTGACGTGGAGGTCAAGAGTACGGACACCATGTACCAGATACCTCCTGATGCGCATCTCCCACATGGTGGACAGGAAGGGCCGAGCGGAGGGTCGCCTCTAGCAGGGGCATCGCCACCCCGGCGAAGGGCGCGACCCTCGAGCTCTACATTCGAGCTACCAGCGAACTACCCAGGGATTGGCGCGCCAGCGAGCTTGTGCAAGGAAGTCAAGGAGGCGTCGCTGCCAGGACTGCCGCGGGGCAACCTGCCAGAAGCATTCGCGCATGGGGCTGCGTGGGCGGCCATTCCGGTTATTATGTCAGTTCGATTGTCTTGCAGGGGAGAGCGCGTCATTCGGAATCACGAACGCAGTAGACAGTTCATTCATGGGTATCCGCATCTGCCGCATGATCCACGCATCCGCTCTGGCCTGCGACTAGGCGCGGGAACTTGCGCGTTCTTAGCGATCCCGAAACTATTAGAAGATAGCTACCGCATGGGGCCGTCAGAGAACCTGATTTACGCGTGCGACGGCTTCGCGGGCGTCGTCAACCCGACGTGCATGTCAATTCCTGCATGTTTATTTGGGCCTTCTGCAAGGGCCTGGTATAGCATGACCCCCTTTTGCGGGCCCATCGGTGCAACATAGCAGGTATTATTGATTGAACTCATTTACCTTGGTAGCTGGGTCTTATCCAGTTGGTTTCGTCGCGCGCGGCGCAGACAAATCGGCGGGGGGGAGTGCGATTCAGCAGCGCATGGCGCCAGCGCCGAAGGCGCATGCGGAAAGCGTCGCGACGATGGGTGTCGGGGCAGGGCGACCTGCGTGGGCGCGGCGACGGGCAGTCTGAGCGGTCATGGGCCATGCGTCTTTTAGCGGGCTTTCCCGCGCTCGCGCCCGAGGGTTGTGCTCGCTTCGTGGACGTGCCTCTGCGAGACGATCCCAGGGCTGCAGCCGCGGCAATGACGGCCGTCGCCTGCCGGCGCGGCAGCGCGCGTAATCAGCGCCCGCCGTCTCGCGTCGGGGATGCGAGGTTCGCGTCCGTGGAGCTCGGCGATCCGAGCAACGCGGCTACGCCGACCACTCCACAAGTCGCAAGTCGGTGCGCCGCCGTCGGAGGCTCTGGGCGTCTCGGCCACCGAGACGCCCCGCAGGCTGGAGAACGTGCCGCGTCAGTCTGGGGATCGAGGCAGCACGGAGGCAGACCGTCGACTTTGGTTCGCCGCGCCCTTCCGTGCCCGGCCACGCAGGCTGCGCGCCGTGATGAGCCAGCTCCGGGCCGCGAGCGCCGCCCTGATCAGCCGCCCCCAAAGGGCTAAGGCAAGGCTGCCGACGCGGCGACGGTGGCGCGCGGCAACGAGCTGCGGACTCCCAGCGACAATTTTCTGAGCAGGAGTATTGGCAGCGCGCATCAGCAACGCCTGGTGGCCTCCGTGGGGATGGGTACCAGATGGAAGCTCATCGCCAGAAGTACGAGAACAGAGCCCATGTGCACCAGCATTCGCAACTCATCCCAACTACTCAACGCTGCAGGGGCCACCTCCCGCGCCAGTAGACACGTCAATGCACCCCGAGCTCCACCGCGCGGTGGACGGCAGACCTTGGCAAAATGCAGCCGTGAGCAACGCCTATGCGCGCGGCGTGACGGAGGACATCCGCCAGCCTCGCCAGGCGCGTCTCACGGACCCATGTGCAATGCCACATATGGCGTTTCAACCCAGACGACCCCACGCTGCAGATCACGGGCAGCAGGGGGGACGCATAGACCACGCATCCAACCCGCGATCAACGTGATTGAGGCTATGGAGTTGCGCATGTGGCTGCTGATTTTCGGCTGGCAAGGCGAAGATCACGTCCAGTGACATGGATAGAGCTTGAGAAGCGGCGGGCAATGTATCCTGTAAAGGAGTCAAAGCAATGACGCCGCTACTGGTGCTCGGCATGGAGATGCGTGCCGGTCGCGCTCTCAGGCGCACCGCTCTCAATAATCCCATGAGGATGATCTAAAAACGCATCGCCAGATTCCAAAGTATTCGGGCGCCTGGGATGAAGTTTGGGAGGGTCACGCGGCCGGTTCTTCCCGCGGCCCTGTTATCGAGTGGCCGTCGGCCATCCAGCCACCGCCCTTGGGTTGTGGGTCAGAGGCCTTCAGGTGTTCATTGGGATGTCGCGGGGGGCATTTGGCGGACCTCTTCGAGGCGGTTTTTTGGGGCCGTTTTGATGTTTCGTTTTGGTCGCATTCGGGGCCTCTTGGGGTCGTTTGGGCCTCGTGGGGGGCCCCATCGGGGCCCCCCCCGGGCCTGGCGGCCTCTTGGGGGCTTTTTTGGGGCGGATTTGGATTATCGGTTGATGTTTCCCCTGTTGAGCCCTCTTTGGGGTTGTCCTGGGCCTTCTGGGGCTGCTTTCTTGTGCTTCAGGGGCCGTGTTGGACCCCCCATTGGGCCGTGTTGGTGGTTTCGTGGGGATCTATTGGGCGGTCTTGGGGCGGCCGTGCAGGCGTATTGGGTCGCCCCGGAGCGTCGTGGGCTCGAGAACTCGAGGGCTTCATAACCAATCAACGAGACAAATTTCAGGGAAATCAATGACTTTGGCTTCTCAGGTCCCTCAGTGACACAGTCGTTGCCCTTGCTTGGCGCCGCTTGCGTCGTGTCCGGCCGGCTGCCATCGCGTCGACTGATGCTATTTTGTCGGGCCGTGGCTGACAGTGTCTGGTTGGCTGCCATCGTGTCGGCTGTCTAGTTACGTGCTTCTTGAAGGCCCATGCGGGGCCGGCCTGTCTTAGCCCCTGGCCGCGGAGGTGGGTTCGTTTCCCCCGCCTGGTCCCCCGCGTCCGTTTCCCAGCGCCTGCCTGTTGGCAGCCGGGGATATATGGTGGACCTGGGCATGTTGCCCTCCAGTACGGGCCCTCGAGTATTGATTGTAGGCTCGCCTCCTTCTCCAATCCACCTACTTCGGGTTGGCGTCGCAAACTGCGCCCCACCACCTTGCAAGCGCCTTGCTGCAGGCAGCGTTTGCTCACACTCATGATGATGAGCGCCATCATCACCATCTTCACCATCATCCGCACTTCCGCCATCACCTGCACATTCGTCGCCGTCGTCATCATCTCCATAATCAGCGTCATTTCCATCACTACAATCACCATAATCACCATCACCATCATCAGCATCATCACCAGCACTACCCTCATCATCCCCATCGTCATCACCTCCATCAACATCCTCCCAATCAGTGCCATTTTTAGCCGTATGCGTAGCATCACACTCATCACCATTATCATCATCGGCACCATCAACACGATCATCAGCGGTTTCAGCACCATCACCATCATCACCAACACTAGTAATTACCACCATCATGATCGTGACCTCCATCTTAACAATCACTATCGCCAACACCACCGCCATCATCGCCATCACCATCCAAACCACCACCACCATTATCACCATCATCGTCATCTCCATGATTTTCGACACCACCACTTCGCCATGATCAGCACCGCCATCATCATCATCAGCACCATCATCACCGTCACCACTACCACCATCATCACCATCATCCAGCCATCACTATCATCCGCAATATCATCATCATCATCATCATCATCATCATCATCATCATCATCATCATCATCACCGTCATCAGCATCGCCCACGTCATCAACATTGCATTCATACCATCACCATGTCCATCGTCATCACCACCATTAGCACCGCCATCACCGCTGTCATCCCCACCAGTATCATCCCCCGTCATTACCACCGTCATCCTCATCGGCATCACCACCATCACCCCCGTCACCATCACTACCAGCACCACCATCATCATCAGCATCATCAACATTGTCATCACATCTCCATTACCATTATCATCACCACCCTCATCATTATCGCCATCATCACCTTCACCATCATCAATACCACCACCATGGCCGCACGCAGCACCATCACCATCATTACGATGCTTATCATCAGCTTCTTCAGCATCACTACCGTCCTTTTCTTCATTATCACCCACTCCATCTTCACCATCACCATTAACACTGTCAATCTCATCACCAATACCACACTATCACCATCGTGATTCGCATCGCCACCATCTCCCCATTACCAGCATCACAAGCATAATCAACATCAACATCATCGTCATCACCATCATCATATTAATCGCCAGCATCACCCTCAGCACCATCATCTTATCCCCAGTTACAACACCGCTTCAATCATCAACACTATCATCGTCATGACCACCATCATCACCATCATCATCACCATCATTGGCATCACCGTCATCATCACCACCATCATTACCATCGTCCGCAAGATCATCAACATGACCAACATCACCACAAGCATCACCACCCCCATTATCATCAACGCCTTCGTCCCATCATCATGATTATTCTCACCACCAGCATCACCACCAAAACCATCATCACCACCATCACCATTACCATCGTTTCCACCATTGTCATCGCGTTCTCATCACCATCACACCCATACCCACCATCATTAGGAATACTATCATCAAGCATATCACCAACAGAGTTTTTATCACCACCATCACAGTCAGCATGAACATCACCGTCATCATAATCGTCACCACCATCATAGTCGCCACCAACCGCATTACTAGCACCCTCTATTTATGAACCAGCATTGCCCTCACCACCATCATCATTAGCACCACCACCATCACCGTCATGATCATCAGCAGCAGCATCATCAACCTCATCACCATCACCTCATCATCGTCATCACTTATATCACCATCATTACCAGCATCATCATCATCATCATAAGTACAACCATCATCACCACCACTAGCACCATCACCATCATGATCAGCATCTCCGTCATCACCATCCCTGTCACCAGCATCATCACCCTTGCCAGCATCACCTCTTTCACATCACCATCACCACAACCAGCGTTACCAGCATCATTCCCATCAGCAGCATTACCGTCATCAGCATCACCATCATCCTTGCCACCATCAGGGCGTGTCCGCCGACCTCGGCGCGCAGGGGGCTCTGTGCGGCGTGTTCGCCGCCAGCTGCGCCGGGGCCGCCTGCAGCGCCTCCCGGGGTGCCTTGCCGCAGGAGCAGCCCGCAGAGGGCGCCGGCATACCACCGCCGCACATAGCCAGGGGCCACCCTTCGGCGGCGAGCCCCAGAGGAGGAAGCAGTCGAGGGGCGGTGGCGCGCTCCTCCTCCTCCTGCTCCTCCGCCTCCTCCTCCTCTTCCTCCTGCTCCTGCTTGTCCTCCTCCTCTTTTTCCTCCTCCTCCTGCTCCTCGTCGTCGTCCTCCTCCTCTCAAGAGGGTGGGTTAGAGGAGGTCTGGATTCCCTGAACCCAATCTACTTTAGGCGCCTTCCTACACTGGAAGAGTCTAACGCTTTTCCCTCCTTGGCTCCTGTTCAGGGGGTGGGCGGGGACCCAATCTACTTCAACGCCTTTCTACTCCATGTTTCTACCTGCATCTTCCGACCGACGTGTACCAATAATAGTGCCCTTGCCATGTTTTCCTTTTGTAACCCTGGGAGGCCCTCGCCACCACGGCTGGATTCGCCGCGAAATGATGGTCAGAGCGCACCCTGGTAGAGGTCCAGAGAGTTGCGGTATCGGAACCTCTTGAATTCCCCAACGATCAGGGGGGAAGGCGGAGGAGCAGGAGGAGGAGGATCAGGAGGAGGAGGAGGAGGAGGAGGAGGAGGAGGGGGAGGAGGAGGGGGAGGAGGAGAAGGAGAGGAGGGGAAGGGGAGGAGGAGGAGGGGGAAGAGGGAGGGAAGGACGATGATGATGCTGATGATGCTGACGATGCTGATGATGCTGATGATGCTGATGACGATTATGATGTTGATGATGATGACGATGTTGATGTTGATGAAGCTGATGATGTTGATGATGATGCTGATGATGATGATGATGATGATGATGATGATGATGATGCTGGTGATGATGATGATGATGCTGATGATGATGATGATGATGCTGATGATGATGATGATGGTGCTGTGCTGATGATGATGATGATGATGATGATGATGATGATGATGATGATGCTGATGATGATGATGATGATGCTGATGATGATGATGATGATGATGATGATGATGATGATGATGATGAGAGAGGAGGAGGAGGAGGAGGAGGAGGAGGAGGAGGAGGAGGAGGAGGAGAAGGAGGAGGAGCAGGAGACTCAGAAAGCATCCGTCTCTTGGGAATACCTCTGCAGCCTTCTCTGAAGCCGTGGGCGGCTTCCTGGCAGTCCGGGCGCTGCTCTCTGCGACGGCCCGCCCCCGACGCTCTTCCCCTCGGGGTTCGCCGCGGGATCCTCGGCCCTGGGACGGTGTGCAGGCGCCCAGCCCACAGGGCTCAGGGGGCTCGTTGGGCGCATGGGGCTCAGAGGTCCCACTGGGCTCATGACTGGGGCTCCCAGGGGCTCCCAGGGGCTCCCAGGGGCGCCTGGGGCTCGCAGGGCTCCCGGGGCTCCCGGGGCTCCCGGTCGCAGCGCTCGCAGGGCTCTGCATCCCTCCGCGGGCCCAGCAGCTGCCCCGGCTGGGCGCGGCGCTGGTGTGCCGGGGGCCCAGTTGGGCTCGGCATCGCTCGGACGTGTGCATTTTTCCTTCGGCGAGGACCATCGAGGAGCATCCCTGATCATTTGGCCCCCCCCCCAAAAAAAACACGCACGAAACCGAACAAAAAACCAGAGAATGGACGTCCGAGCGATGGCCAGTGGGGCGGCACCGCAGGGGCAGCCGGCCCACCCTGCCGCGGCGCTGCAGGCCCGCCACGTGGTCTTCGGGAGCTGCGGCGGCTGGAGCGCCACGGCGCGGCCGGGCGTCTGGCTGGTCGTTGCCGTGCAGGCGGCGGAGCACGGCCTCGGCCCAGGAGGGAGCGCATTTTTTGTTCCCCTGCCCCCTGAGATCCCGGCGCTGCAGTTGTTGTCGAAGCGCGCGTTTTCGCCAGCTTGCGGGCCACAGGGTCTTCCCGGATCGGTCCGGGTCCCAAAGTGACGCAGAAGAATGTGGTCCGGGGCTCTGGGGGTGATGTTTCGCGATGGTGGGTGCAGTTTTTTCCAACATCAGATCTGAGGCTCTGGTGACAGTTGTTTTATTCCTTGGCGATAGCGGGCGTGACTTGAGTGGAGGAGGGGGAGGGGGGCGGTCACGTCATGATTCGCGCTGGCGCTGTCTGGGAATGCTCAAAAATTGCTAATGCCCACGCGGCGCTGGTGTGAATCGCAACATGACCAGGTGGGAGCGGGGCTTGTCACGTGCGTTATCGTGATAAATACAAAACGGGCTCCTGGCGCGTCACGGTCGTTACCCCGGCCAAACTTTCTAGGCCTTCAGACGGGGTCGAAGCAGATGGGGTTGGTAGGTCGCGCCGCATCGCGCCGCATCGCCGATGCTTCGGCGATGCGGCTCGATGTGGATCCCGATTTCCTCCACGCCGGCGGCGCCGATGCATCGCCGACGTCGCCGATGCATCGGCTATGCGGCGCCGCGGCGCGATCCTCTGACCCCACCTGCTCGGACCCCATCTAGGAGGCCTCTCAGTTGCCCGGGCCAGAACCCCCTCGCTGGGTAACAGTAGCGATCGTCCGTGGGGGGGGGGCCTGGACCCCCTACACAGCTGGTGCTCGCGCGCATAGTATGGCGATCGCAGCGCACCTCCGCCCCAGCGTGCCCCACCCCGCACAAGCGTTACCGTTACCTTGGGCCCGCGCCCGCCTTACGGGTAACGACTGTGCGAAGATGTATATTTATATCTACACATATGAAAACAATGTCTCGGAGGGGAGCTGGCCGCGGCGCCCGATGCCCGGAGCAGGCCCAGGTGTGGGTCAGAGGAGGGAGTGGTACCGATGCCGCCGCTGCGCTTCCCTCTGTCCCTCTTTCTTTATTCATTTTTTTTGTTCCCGGGGGGGCCCTCGTCGCCACGGCTGGGACCGCCTCGAAGTTTACAGTGGGGGCCCATGCCAAGAGACGCCCTGCTCGCCTCCAGGGTGCCCTGGTTCTCTTGGGCCTCGATGGCTTTGCGATGGAGAGCGTGACGCTCCCACACCAACAGTCGAGGGACGCCCTGGGGTCTCAGGGCCCGGGCTTCGTGCGGAAGGTTTCTCGTGGCCTGGACTTCACTGCACCGATGCCGCCGCGCTTCCCTCGTTCTCCTTCTCTGTGTTCCCTGGGAGGCCCCCGCGTGCCATGGCCGGGGTTGCCTCGAAGCTCATGTCAGAACGCACCCCGGGAGAGCCTGGAGGTAGGAAAGGGGTCTGGTATATAAAGGGGTGTGGTGCTAAATCTCGTGTAGAGGGGAATCTGGCGTTGTGACTCATCGCAGATAGCATCGCCATTTCCACGATCGGCACTGTACCCCTTTGCGCCACACCCCTTTCCGACCTCCAGAGGGAGTTTTGGGGAGCAGCGGCGTCGCTACCCTTGGGTTTTCCGTAAGGGGGACGAGGGGGGCGGCCGCGTCAGAGAAGGCACGGGGCGTCTTTGGGCGCCCCCCGTGCCGGCGTGGAGGGCCTTGCCCTTCTCAGAAGTTTTCTGCCTTCGTAGAGAGAGCATCGCCCTCCCCCCGGTCTCTCCCCGCCCCTCTGTGTCGGGTATAGCCAGGACCCCAGGTCAGGGGACCCGGTTAGTAGTATGGCCCTGGAGCCCCTAAATCGGCCAGAATCACTAAACCAGGTCTGCCGTAGCTGGTGTTTTTTCGGGTGACGGCAGTTCCGGTTAGTGGAACGGGCGGGGGGGCGTCCCCCAGTACACATCACTAAACCAGGTCCCAATAAACTCAGTTCTGCCAATGCCCGACTGTGTGCCAGCGCCGCCACCATCAGAGCGACGCAGAGAAACTGAGTCGTCTGTACCAAGGTTGGCGCGTCAGTTGCCCGCGCAAGGTCGCGCAAAACGCGCCCGCGCTTCCACTGCAGCGTGCCGCGCTGGCGGCCCGCGTGATTACCCGCCTCAACCGTACCCTTATCCCCCATGCTTGGCATCACCTTATCTTGATGCCGATCTTCAGGATTCCCCGAGTTTCTGAGGGCGCACCCCTAAGATTGTCATCGCCTTGGGCTTTCCAATCTGAGGGACATGGGATAAGATCGAGGCTGGTTATGTAAGCCACCGCGAAGGTCGCTGTGCCACCTCAAGACCTCTTGCCTTTCGTCGCCCAGATCGCCAGAGGTCTCGACCCCAAAGGTCTCAGCCCATTCCCCGGGACCGGTTTTTTATCCCGAGTAGTTTTTGACGGTCCCGAGGACTTGCAAGGGCCCCAGAGGCCGAAAATAGTGAGAAACCTTCCGTCATGATTGTTTTCTCAACCCTTCTCTGGAGTTGGGTAATTGCTTTAAATTTCGCAGCGTCGCGCGTCTCCTCCTTCCTTCCTTCCTCCTTCCTTCCTCCTCCTCCTCGTCGTCAGCATCATAATCTTGATATCGAGTACAGTCAATTACCACCCTTCTCATTACCATCACATTTTCATTACACCCTTCACCTTTCGTGGCGTCATAGGGAGATCCACGGTTGGTCCCACTGGCAGCTTTCGCATACCGAACGCCGACCATTTCGGCACACCCCTCACACGTCTCGTGGCCGATGAGAAGCTCCACCGAAGGCCCCAGTGGCAGCGTTCGCATACCGCCCCCAGACCATTTCGGCACACCCTTCCCTCACACGTCTCGTGGCCCCTAGGGAGCTCCACCGAAGGCCCGAGTGGCAGCGTTCGCATACAGCCCCCCGACTATTTCTGCACACCCATCACACGATTCGTAACCTCCAGGGAGCTCCACCGAAGGCCCGAGTGGCAGCGTTCGCATACAGCCCCCCGACAATTTTTGCACATTCCTCCACACGTTTCGTGGCCCCCAGAGAGCTCCACCGAAGGCCCCAGTGGCAGCGTTCGTACACCGCCCCCCGACAATTTCGGTGCACCCCTCACACGTTTCGTGGTCCCCTAGGGAGCTCCACCGAAAGCCCCAGTGGCAGCGTTCGCATACCGCCCCCCGACCATTTCGGCACACCCTTCACACGATTCGTGGTCTTCAGGGAGCTCCACCGATCGTCCCAGTGGCAGCGTTCGCATACCGCTCCCCCGACCACTTGCCAGACGCCCCTTACACGCTTCGGGGCACCAGAGTCATGTCCCTGGCGAATCGTTCAGGCTTGCTGCAAACATATTCTCAAGTATTGAGCGGGCCTGCTTGTAGTCGCCTCATGTTTAAAAGGGGATTGCGTTCTTCGCAAGGCAAATGTGATGACTCGAGCGGGGCTTGGCCCCCAGGTCAGCGACGAAAGCCAACGGGGTCGACTGCGCCGACATTGGCGCGCATGCTGCCCGCGTCAGGTCGCGCGTAAGCGCCCTCGTCTCCACTGTGGCGTGCCACGGTTGCGGCCCGCGTGCGGTAGGTTCGCGTCGTGTCGACCGGCGGCGACCCCGCCGCCGGCGTTCAACGTTGAACGCCGCTAGTAATCGGTCAATGTTGAACGATCCTGACGTTTCGGGAACGGCCGATCGTTCAAAGTTGAACGATCCCCGCGGTGTCGGGAAACAACGCCGGGGTCGACACGACACGGACCTGCCGTAAGCCACTGCGTGAGGTCGCTATGTCTTTGGCGTATAGACCCGCTTTTGTTCGTCGCCCAGGTGGCCAGAGGTGCTCTTCGCCCCCTCGCGCGGCTCGTTGGCCCGCGGGGTGCGCTGGCCACGGGGCAGGGCCCAGCGGAGCCGGCCAGCCCTGCCGCCAGAGGTGCTGCGGTGGGCGGGGGACTACTGCGAGCTCGTCGGAGGGGAGCCCGCCGCGGCGTCGAACGTGGGCGGCTTCCAGTCGCAGAAGGACTTCGGGGGTTATGTTGCTCCCATCGTGCTCCAGGACTTCAGCAGTGGCGAAACGTCCTTGCTTGCCTATGGGCCTACCAAAGAATGTTCTAACAATCTTCCGTGGTCTGCACGAAATGTTCTTAGAACATGTACGGCTGGGACGTTTTTTCCCCCAACCATCCTGTGGTGTTGGGTCCTCGTTTTGAAGAGACAGCGCCCCGCGTCCCACCTTCCTTCCTCCTCCCCCCTCCTCCTCCCCCTCCTTGCCTCTGCTCTCGGCACACCTCTCCCACGTTTCGTAGCCCCATAGGGAGCTCCACCGAAGGCCCCAGTGGGGGTGTTCGCATGCGGTTCCCCCACCCAGGGCAGCGTTTCGTGGCCCCATAGGGAGCTCCGCCGATGGCCCCAGTGGGGGAGGTCGCATGCGGTTCCCGTACCCAGGGCAGCGTTTCGTGGCCCCATAGGGAGCTCCACCGAAGGCCCCAGTGGCGCAGTTCGCATGCGGTTCCCGTACCCAGGGCAGCGTTTCGTGGCCCCATAGGGAGTTTCACCGAAGGCCCCAGTGGCTACTCTCGTATGCGGTTCCCCCACCCAGGGCAGCGTTTCGTGGCCCCATAGGGAGCTCCACCGAAGGCCACAGTGGCTTCTCTCGCATGCGGTTCCCCCACCCAGGGCAGCGCTTCGTGGCCCCATAGGGAGCTCCACCGAAGGCCACAGTGGCTGCTCTCGCATGCGGTTCCCCCACCCAGGGCAGTTTTTCATGGCCCCATGGGGAGCTCCACCGAAGGCCCCAGTGGCGCAGTTCGCATGCGGTTCCCGTACCCAGGGCAGCTTTTCGTGGCCCCATAGGGACCTCCACCGAAGGCCCCAGTGGCGCAGTTCGCATGCGGTTCCCGTACCTGGGGCAGCGTTTCGTGGCCCCATAGGGAGCTCCACCGAAGGCCCCCGTGGCGCAGTTCGCATGCGGTTCCCCCACCCAGAGCAGCGCTTTGTGGCCCCATAGAGAGCTCCACCGAAGGCCCCAGTGGCGCAGTTCGCATGCGGTTCCCCCGCCCAGGGCAGCGTTTCGTGGCCCCGTAGGGAGCTCCACCGAAGGCCCGCCCCAGTGGCGCAGTTCGCATGCGGTTCCCCCACCCAAGGCAGCTTTTCGTGGCCCCATAGGGAGCCCCACCGAAAGCGGCACCCACAACGCGTTACGAACAATTGCTTATGGTTGGGTTCTTCGCCAGGATAATTGTTTTAACGCATCGGACATATGTTCTAAGAACATTGCTTTTGTTATTAGAACGTTGTTTCGGTTCTAAGAGAATGTTGCGGTAGACCTATAGGAATGCCGGGATGGTTGGTCCCTGCTTAACCCACATGCCAGAAACAGTTCGAGCACCCAGGAAAGGATCGAACCAGTGTCTGCCCGACACGATGGCGAATTGTCGAGCGAGTATCGCCTCCCAGCGCCCGACACGCGAAAACCCTTGTAGTTTCGATACTTTCTTGGTGCTCGAAGTTCTGTATAGTCGTCAAGGCTCAAGTAGGTGGGAACATCTTAATCCAGGGCCCCCCCGGACGGTGTGGTGGCCACACCGCGGGGGGACCCAAACCCAGACCCCTCGCGTCGTGGGCGAAGCTCGGCGGAAGGTCTGGCGCTAATTTTCGCTTCTGGGGGCCCTTGCCAGGCCTCGGGACCGTCAGGGAATGATTCAGGATGAAGAATCGATCCCGGGGAATTGGTCAAGAAATTTGGGGGTCGACGTTGTGAGAAAGCATGACGTCGGGAGTTTGGGAACGGTGTGATGACCGCACCTCGTGGTGAGTCAGTGGGGCTTCGGTCGTAAATCATGAGTCATTGGGGCTTCGGCAGCAAATCATGGAAGCCTTCAGTACCCTCGTGATTCTGCTTGTTCGATTGCATTAGCGTCCGAGAGCGTATGGTAGTCGGAGACCTGGCGCCAACTTGGCGCTGGTGAGCGTTGATTGGCGTCGATTTAGCGTCAAGGAGCCCTGATTTGCGTCGGCCAGCGTCGAGTCGCAAGAACTGATAAGATGGTCTACGAGGCTCCCATGAGTTGCCACCTGAAGTGGGGATTCGGGGTCACCGCACGGTTTTGGTCGGGGGCCACACGCGAACCCTACCCCTACCCCCCACGATTTCTGAGGGGGAGGGTGGGGTTCACCTCATTTGGGAGCTCCCGAGCAGAGTGAACCCCACCCTCCCCCTCAGAAATCGTGGAGGGTATGGGTAGGGTTCGCGTGTGGCCCCCTATTTAGGACTCGGGTCGTTCGCTGAGGATGTCTCGGGCGACTGGGGCCTCCGAGGTCCCAAGGCCGCTCGGTGACGGACCGCGCGGCGAGGCCTCTTTTGGGGCTGCGGGATCGCCGCGCCGTCCGTCACCGCACGGTTTTGCGACGTGCATAGAAACGAGTCACCATGAGAAAGCAAAACAAGTCACTTGCGTCCAAGCCACAAGCTGAAACAACTGACTTCCTCAATCTTTGAATGCTTTCGAGCTAAAATGGGTCAAGGTAGTGGAGGGGGAGGGAGGATTCAAATTTCCCATTCAGTGCTTGCACTGAAGGGGACATAGCGGATATTGAAAGATTTGGCGAAAGTGTCCCGCCGATTTTGGTGGCTGGCTGGGTTCCCGGGTTCACGGTCCCCGGTTCCCGGGTTTCCTGGTTCCTGGTTATTGGTTCCGGGCCGATTTCGGTGGGTTTTTGGTTCCCGGTCGATCTCCTTATCGACCTGCAAACCATCCAATGATTGGGTTGTTTCTCTTATCATATCCCCCGGAAGGACTTCCTCAACCTGCTCGAGCAGCACTCCGCGGGCGCCAGGCCGGCGCTGGGGGTGCTGCGCACCGCGCTGCTGGATGCCGCGGGCGAGGCGCTGCGGGAGGACCTGGGTGCCGCCCACGGCACGCTGACGGTGCTGCTCCTCTCCAGCTGGCTCAACCGGAACGGGAGGGGCGACTCCAACCAGGCTCTGCGGGTCGGAGGAGAGCTTTGCACGGTTTCCCCTGGGGCCGTAGGCGACCCGAGGAGGAGGAGGAGGAGGAGGAGGAGGAGGAGGAGGAGGAGGAGGAGGAGGAGGAGGAGGAGGAGAGGACGAGGAGGAGGTGGAGAGGAGGAGGAGGAGGAGGAGGAGGAGGAGGAGGAGGGAGGAGGAGGGAGGAGGAGGAGGAGGAGGAGAGGAGGAGGAGGAGGAGGAGGAGGAGGACGGCGGGTCGCCTTACGCCCTTCGGAGAAACCCTCGAGAAAACTTCGAGGGTCAGGCTCTGTCCTCATAATCGGGCGAAGAGAACTATGCACATGCACCGATCCTGGCAAGGCCCACTCGTGACCCAGGATCGGTGCAGACATACATTCCTGGCCAAGGCAGGAGGGCGCATGCACCGAGCCTGGGCTCGGGATAGGCCCGGCCAGAACTCGGTGTATGTGCATCGTTCTCTTCCCTCTGCATAGGTTGACAGGGGCGGGGATGCTCGGATGCGCCCCGGCCTCGCAGCATCGCCCGCGCTCCCCGCTTGCCCGCTCTCGCGATTTGAAGGGGTCTCGTGTCCTCTCGCGCGTCCCGTCCCATGAAGTCCGTCTGTACTCGCAGAAGGTCCTGAACACAAACGCCTGCTTCGACGTACTGTGTCGCAAATCCCCCATCGGCGGATCCAGACCATCTGCTAGCAGCTACTCTGAGAGTAGTGGAGCGCGCTAGTCCAGTCACGCTCCCCGACGGGGGCGGAGAGGTGGGCGTGGCCAGAGACCTCTGCGGAGTCTGCGGAGACTTCTGCGGGCTCGTCTGCGGGGGCTTTTTGGGGGACCCTGCGTCGGAGAAGGGCGAGGTGGGACAACGGTACCTGGCCTTCGCGGGCGCCCTCGTCCTCACGGCTGGACGCAGCTCGGAAAGCAGGTACGTCTCGACCCCAGGAGGGGTCAGGGGACAGATTTTGAGCTGCCGTTGTCTCAACTCGCCCTGCTCCGAGAGGGGACGCCAGCCAGCAGCACCAGCACCGGATCTTGGCCGGGCCCATCCTAGACCCAGCAGGGGCCTGGCCATCATGCGGTGTTGGTGGTGCGCAGTGTTGTGACCTCCTGCAGGCCCACACGCACCGCGCCGACCTCAGCGGGGTGGTTTACCTGCGCTGCGGGCGCTGCTGCTACCTGCACTTCCCCGGAGCCGAGCA